CTTCACGACAAAGCCTCTCTACTTCTTCATCCATCCAGAAACAGTGCCGTGACCACCCCTATACACCACGGCCCGACGAAAGACTGACACTCCCATTAAGCATTTCATCAGCCCAGGACCCCGCTTGGATGAACAAACGTTGAAACTATAATCAAATATTATCCATCTTTATCGGAATATTCCTATAATATTATTACAAGTGGGAGACATTCTCATAACAATCAGGGGAAGATACTCGGGTTGATATTTCGTTCTCCATATATACATTCCATCAGCAATATTCCGGTGGATCATGACAGACGTCATACCAAAGACCAAATGCCATAGACTCCGCAAACTAGGTCACGACGATTCCAAAACGAGGTCAAGCCCTGGATGTCATGAAAATCAAAATGGCGCGGAGGAGCGTTCGTGCATCTGGCTCTTGTTTGTTGTGGCAGGATTTGGTGGGTCGTCTGTGCCTGGACTGTTTGTCCACATGTTCCTTTGTTACGGGAGGGGGAGGGATAATACATTAAAAGGCAAGGGAGGAAAGGGGAGAGAGAGAGAGAGAGAGAGAGAGAGAGAGAGAGAGAGAGAGAGAGAGAGAAACAAAGACAGACAGAGATAGGATCCACTGCTCAGACGGCCACAAACTGTGGAGTGGATGGTTGGGAGATTCTTCTGGTCTGCAGAGAAAGATTGTGACAATGGATCTGAAAGATCAAGTCGTTATCATAACAGGTACGTGTTCATGCACTAAAGACAGTGGAAATAAAATAGAAGCCACAGAAATGTGGTTTCTTAGGAGACTGCTAAGATTATCGTTCATGTAAAAGAAATCAAATGAGGTAGTGCTTGATGAAGCCCACGTGGGACGCTCAATGTTAAAAACAATCTGGAAACTACAAATGCAGTTTTTGGGACACCTTAATAGACATAAGGGTCTTGAACATCTAGCTCTCACTGGGAAAATTGAAGGCAAACGAGGGAGGGGTAGGCCCAAAACAATATACCTGGGGAACCTAAACAAATTTGTACCGAGAAAGATCAGGGAAACGTAGCTTTTTTTAGAGCATCCGAGCAAAGGAATGAATGGAGAACCATGATCGCCAATGTATGTCACAGATCTGGCACTGGATGATGATGATGAAGTGTTAATGATTTACAGAGATTGCATATGGAGGTTCTGATGGGTATGTAGTCAAGTCCTACAGTAAAACTGGAATCCACAGGGTAAGAGATCAAAGAGAAGACCACACGGAATTCAGAGAAGAGTCACAGAAAAATGGTGCATAGGAACGTGAAAAGACATAGATCTAGAAAAATAATATCAAGAAGCTGGCTCAGGGTAGGAAAAGAAGGAAAGCGTTTGTTCGTGGCCTATACTCTGATCCAGGATGAGAAAGGTGTTGATGATGATGATGATGATGATGATGATGATGATGATGATGATGATGATGATGATGATGATGATGATGATGATGATAATGGTGGTGGTGGAGGTGCAGGTGTTGTGCCTTATGAATGGCGAAACTCCAACCGTTAAAAATTGCCTCAGGTTGGCTAAAATTTACTCAATACTATCCACCTCTAGTCTGCCTCTTCTTTCGTAATGATGATGATGATGATGATGATGATGATGATGATGATGATGATGATGATGAT